AAAAAACTGTGCTTTAAGCATCTTCAGTGTAAGAAAAAAACTCTAGCTACAAAAATCCTTCAGTCTAGAGCAGAGAGGGATTCTCTCCTTTTGTTTGATTAATGATAAAAACAGGCGGCAGCAGGAACATCGCGCGCTGTCTCTTTAATGGTTTCTCTTTCACGTGTCTTTTGATCCTCAACTCATTTGTTTATTACACAAATGAGGGTTAATAGGAATAATCGCTAAACACCGCGTTTTGACACCTATTTGACCATTAAAGCGCTTATGTTTAGATGACTTTAGATGTCTGCGCTCCTCTGCTTGTCTCAGTGAGCGAATGGGACCGAATGCTGACCGGCTGCATGCTTCTGACTTTGTGTGCGTGCCGTCATTCGCGCTTTTAAGAGCAACAACAGTGTACAGCTGGAAAGGGGTCGGTATATGATGCAATAATCGTTTATCTCGATTAATGCTTCTTCATAATCGTTTGAAGCCAAAATCGAAATCAGATTTTCGATTAATTGCACAGCCCTAAGTAAAAGGGCCTCTGACCACAAAAAGGGTAAAAGGGTTCTCTGACCACATTTCTAGAACTGCTCGATCGTGCAGATTTGCACTCTATAACATCAGAAAGATCCGACCCTTCTTATCTGAACATGCAGCTCAACTCCTTGTTCAAGCTCTTGTTCTCTCCAGACTGGACTATTGCAACTCTCTACTAGCCGGGCTTCCAGCTAACTCTATCAAGCCTCTTCAACTGCTCCAGAATGCAGCAGCACGAGTCGTCTTCAATGAACCTAAACGAGCACATGTCACTCCGCTGCTCATCCGTTTGCACTGGCTGCCAGTTGCTGCTCGCATCAAATTCAAAGCTCTGATGTTTGCTTACAAAGTGACTTCTGGCTTTGCTCCTTCTTATCTGCTCTCACTTCTGCAGATGTATGTGCCCTCCAGAAACTTGCGTTCTGTGAATGAACGTCGCCTCGTGGTTCCATCCCAAAGAGGGAAGAAATCACTTTCCCGAACTCTCACGCTCAATCTGCCCAGTTGGTGGGATGAACTCCCTAACTGCATCAGAACTGCAGAGTCACTCGCTATTTTCAAGAAACCACTAAAAACTCAACTATTTAGTCTCCACTTCACTTCCTAATCTGCAATTGCCTCTTTGAATATCACACTAACTGTACAAAAAAAAAAACAAAAAAAAAAAAACCTACTAATACTTCCCTTCTTAGACTTTACAGACCTGAAACTTGCCTTTAGTACTTATTCATTGTTGCTCTTAGTTGTGTAAATTGCTTCCTTGTCCTCATTTGTAAGTCGCTTTGGATAAAAGCGTCTGCTAAATGACTAAATGTAAATGTAAATGTAAGGTATAATGAAAAATCTGATGGGTGTTTTGAGCTGAAACTTTACAGACACATTCTGGAGACACAAAACACTGATATTAAATCTGAAAAAAGGGGTAACCTAGGTGCCCTTTAAATACTGCACCTGGATACTGTTAGACTCGAAAAACAATAAAGCACTATCTTTTTCTTTATTGTACTTATCAATGCGGGCGACACGGTGGCTCAGTGGTTAGCACTGTCACCTCACAGCAAGAAGGTCCCTGGTTCGATTCCCGGCTGGGTCAGTTGGCATTTTTGTGTGGAGTTTGCATGTTCTCCCCGAGTTGGTGTGGGTTTCCTCCGGGTGCTTCGGTTTCCCCCACAGTCCAAACACATGCGCTATAGGTGAATTGATCAACTGCATTGGCCGTAGTGTATGTGTGTGAATGAGTGTGTATGGGTGTTTCCCAGTGCTGGGTTGCAACTGCAAGGGCATCCGCTGTGTAAAAAATGCAGGAACAGTTGGCAGTTCATTCCGCTGTGACAACCTCTGAAATAGAGACTAAGCTGAGGGAAAATCAATGAATGATGATGAAATAACATTCTTTTCATAAAAAGGTCTTTCGTTTGTCGTTACGTTTTGATAATTTGAGTCAGGAACTTCTGTTAAGGGTGCATATAGTGTGTATTGATGATTCCCTTGATTCTCATGGTGCACTGTGGCACTTTTCAGGGCTCAACCGTTTCAGTGCACTAGCAGATTTTATTTATTTTTTGCCTCAATAACAAACCCAGAATTAATCAGTTTTGACATTTGCCTGTGCTAGTTTGAAATCATCAGATTCTGCACTCCTATTGGCTATTCGGCTGCGTCTCAATCAGCACCCTAGCTCCTAAAGTTGTTCATCATTATGTCGTGCACACTTATTCATGCACTAGCAAGGGCACTGATGAGCTCTGTTTACTACACATCAGGACACTATTGAGTTTGACGAGAACGTTCTCATTGTACCTCATCAAAAGTGCAGTTTATAAACAACAGCAGAGCTGATCATGTTCATATATTCATTTGACTAATAATGTCAATAATTAGTAATTAGAAACTAATAATTGACCTTTATTAATTTTAATACATTTTTAAAAGTGCATTACAGATAAATATTTAGATAGTTTCAAACTCCAGCAACATTTCAACCATTAAACCATTATAACTGTTTGCTAGATTGTTCCTGACCTAGCTGATCTAGCTTTGTTCGTTATGTTAAACAGAAATAAAGGATAAACGTTTCTTGTTTATCGTAATGTTTGATGATTTGGGTCAGGTGATTCTTTCGCACTTCTTTTTTAAATATATAGTGTATATCGATGCGCCCTGATTTTCACAGTGCATTGTGGGACTTTTTAGGTTGCGAAGAATTTTGCGATTGAGACAGCACTTAATATGGCTGACGCCCTCATTGGTGCACTAACTAGTGAACAAGGGTGCTGGTTGAGATGCACCCTTGCTTTGATGCCAGTCGCAGCTGAATCACACTGTAGGAAAGAGTCTTAAATCTTCTGACTCTTGATGCATTTAAAATGGGATAAATCCCCCTACAAAGGGCACTTAGAAGGGGAAAAAAATGTAAGGCCACCATATTGATGTGTCATCCCAAAAGTGCTCAAAACCGGCCACTTTGAAGGGGTCTTTCAGTGTGAAGGATTTTAGGTCCATATAAAGGGTTAATGCCGCCAATTATTGATCAACAGTAAAAATGACAGATTGTCCCTCTTCCTGTCTGGAACAACCAGCAGCAATGCAGAATGCAGGATTATCTGCTGTCACGGCTTTACAATCAATAAATGTGATTATAATGGAAGTCAATGGGGCAAAAACAGCCCCAACATCACCAAAGGAGAGTCAATCTGAACAATACACAAGGGTTAAGCAGGTGTTGGTGAACATGTCCTAAAACTATTGAACAACACCCACAGTTATTTACAGATAAATAATTAGATAGTTTCATACTTCAGCAACATTTTAACCACTAAACCATTATAACTGTTTGCTAGATTGTTCCTGACCTATCTAGCTCAGTTCATCCATGTTAAACAGAAATAAAGGATTCTTTATAGGTAAATGTTTGTCGTAATGTTTGATGATTTGGGTCACATGACTCTTTTGCACTTCCTTTAAGGATATATAGTGGGACTTTTTAGGTTGCGAAGAGTTTTGCGATTGCGACAGCACTTAATATGGCTGATGCCCTCATTGGTGCACTAACTAGTGAACAAGGTTGCTGATTGAGACACACCCTTGCTTTGATGCTTGTCGCAGTAAAATAACACTGAAAGAATCAGAAGTTTTCAGACTCTTGATGCATTCCAATAGGGATAAATCACCCTACGAAGGGCACTTGGAAGGGGAAAAAGAAATTAGGCCACTATATTGATGCGTCATTCCAAATGTACTCAAAACCGGCCACTTTGAAGGGGTCCTTCAGTGTGAAGGATTTTAGGTCCATATAAAGGGTTAATGCTGCCAATTATTGATCAACAGTAAAAATGACAGATTGTCCCTCTTCCTGTCTGGAACAACCAGCAGCAATGCAGAATGCAGGATTATCTGCTGTCATGGCTTTACAATCAATAAATATGATTATAATGGAAGTCAATGGAGCAAAAACAGCCCCAACATCACCAAAGGAGAGTCAATCTGAACAATACACAAGGGTTAAGCAGGTTGAACAACACCCACAGTTATTTACAGATAAATAATTAGATAGTTTCACACTCCAGCAATATTTCAACCACTAAACCATTATAACTGTTTGCTAGATTGTTCCTGACCTATCTAGCTCTGTTCGTTATATTAAACATAAATGAAGGATTCTTTATAGGTAATTGTTTGTCGTTACGTTTGATGATTTGGGTCACATGATTCTTTTAAACTTTCTTTAAGGATATATAAAGCGAAATATATTTTCACAATGCATTGTGGGACTTTTTAGGTTGCGAAGAATTTTGTAATTGAGACAGCCCTTAATATCGTTGACGCCCTTATTGGTTCACTGACTGGTGAACAAAGGTGCTGGTTGAGACACACCCTTGCTTTGATGCTTGTCGCAGTTAAATCACACTGTAGGAAATGTTTCCGACTCTTGATGCGTTCCAAACGGGATAAATCACGCTACGAAGGGCACTTGGAAGGGGAAAAAGAAATTAAGGCCGCCATATTAATGTGTCATTCCAAAAGTGCTCAAAACCGGCAACTTCAAAGGGTCTTTCAGTGTGATTTCAGGTCTATATAAAGAGTTAAAGCAAATTTCCAATGGGAAAACCAGCAGCAATGCAGAATGCATGATTACACAAGGGTTAAGCGGCTGTTAGTGAACATGTCCTAAAATAAATGTTAGTGAACATGTCCTAAAACAAACAACACCCACAGATTATAGTATGTATGCATAAATACACTTACTATGGCCCAATCTCTAATCTATTTTTTAACCTCTACCCCTTCCCCTTGGCCCTTGAAACAAAGTGTGAGGTAAGGGGAGGGGCTAAGGGGTAGTTGAACTAATAAATACTGTATTGTTCAAATACACTTAAACGAAACCTAATTGTAAAGTGTGACCATGTTGTCCTCTTACCTGCAGTGTGAGTGTGTGGGTGCGTCTGCAGTAATGGCCCCTGCGGCGGCTGCTGGGGGCGAGTGACGCTCTGGTTCCCCAGTATGGGCAGTGTGGGCAGCGGGGTGGCCGGTGAGCAGGAGTTTGCCATGAAGAGCGTGGGCACACGCACCACCCTCCCTCGTGGCCCGCCGCTGTCCCGCCGTGGACCCTCTGACCGCAGCTGCAGCGCCGAGCGGCTCCACCCGCACCCGTCCACATCCGAGGGCTCCAGCGACGAGAGAGGAGGCAGCAGCACCACCACTGACAGAGGTAACGCTCTGCAAAACACGACAACATACAGCTAGAGTCACAATTATTAGCCCTCCTGTTAAATATTTGATCCTTTTGAAAGCAGGTTGTCACAGGGTATAATGTATTTCTATAAGCACTGTATATAATGAGATTTCTGTCATGTGGCCCAGTCCTAGAGCGGGGACAGCTCAACATGGAGAGGGTTCCTGCTAACCTGGACGCTCTGGAGGGAACTGCAGCGGGCCGGCGGGACGGGCACAGATCCGGCAGAGGAGTGTCTCTGGATGCTTGCGGTAATGTTGTGGGTCACGGAGCGGAGAAGAACCATGACGGTGCAGCACCGCTGAAAAGCAGAGATGGAAACATCAGCAAAAGAGACGGTCGCACACCTCCCAAAATACTCACCGTCTCTGGAAAACTGGAGCAGGTACAGTACTTCTCTTACATCCACAGCTCTGTGTTAATGATCTAAGTGCAAAGCCTAAAGGGCATGGTGCAAAAGCCAAGAGCGCCATCTAATTTTAGAAACTAGCATAGAGCGCCATCTATTGTTAAAAACAAACCTAGAGCGTCATCTGCTTTTAGAAACCAGCCTAGAGCACCATCTACTGTTAAAATATTAGCCTAGAGCGCCATCTATTGTTAAAAACTAGCCTAAAGCGCCATCTACTGTTAAAAACTAGCCTAGAGCACCATCTATTGTTAAAAACTAGCCTAGAGCACCATCTATTGTTAAATACTAGCCTAGAGCGCTATCTACTGTTAAAATACTAGCCTAGAGCACAAGCTACTGTTAAAATACTATCCTAGAGAACCATCTATAGTTAAAAACTAGCCTAGAGCACCATCTATTGTTTAAAAACTAGCCTAAAGTGCTATCTACTGTTAAAATACTAGCCTAGAGCACCATCTATTGTTAAAAACTAGCCTAGAGCACCATCTTTTGTTGAATACTAGCCTAGAGCTCCATCTACTGTTAAAATACTATCCTAAAGCGCCATCTACTGTTAAAATACTAGCCTAGAGAGTCTTCTACTGTTAAAAACTAGCCTAAAGCGCCATCTACTGTAAAAAATAGTAGCCTAGAGCGCCATCTACTGTTAAAATACTAGCGTAGAGAGTTATCTACTGTTAAAATACTAGCCTAGAGCACCATCTACTGTTAAAAACTAGCCTAAAGCACCATCTACTGTTAAAATAGTAGCCTAGAGCACCATCTACTGTTAAAATACTAGCGTAGAGTCATCTACTGTTAAAATACTAGCCTAGAGCGCCATCTACTGTTAAAAACTAGCCTAAAGCACCATCTACTGTTAAAATACTAGCCTAGAGTGCCATCTACTGTTAAAATACTAGCCTAGAGCGCCATCTACTGTTAAAATACAAGCCTAGAGCGCCATCTACTGTTGAAAAACTAGCCTAGAGCGCCATCTACTGTTAAAATACTAGCCTAGAGCGCCATCTACTGTTAAAATACTAGCCTAGAGCGCCATCTACTGTTAAAATCCTAGAGCGCCATCTACTGTTAAAATCTAGCCTAAAGCGCCATCTACTGTTAAAATACTAGCCTAGAGCGCCATCTACTGTTAAAATACTAGAGCGCCATCTACTGTTAAAATACTAGCCTAGAGCGCCATCTACTGTTAAAATACTAGCCTAGAGCGCCATCTACTGTTAAAATCCTAGAGCGCCATCTACTGTTAAAATACTAGCCTAGAGCGCCATCTTTAGAATTATTTTAAAGATGGGAAAAACTGGTTGCCCTAACCTATTATGCAAAAATCACTTTTAATAGTAGCCTAGAGCGCCATCTACTGTTAAAATACTAGCGTAGAGAGTTATCTACTGTTAAAATACTAGCCTAGAGCACCATCTACTGTTAAAAACTAGCCTAAAGCACCATCTACTGTTAAAATAGTAGCCTAGAGCACCATCTACTGTTAAAATACTAGCGTAGAGTCATCTACTGTTAAAATACTAGCCTAGAGCGCCATCTACTGTTAAAAACTAGCCTAAAGCACCATCTACTGTTAAAATACTAGCCTAGAGTGCCATCTACTGTTAAAATACTAGCCTAGAGCGCCATCTACTGTTGAAATACTAGCCTAGAGCGCCATCTACTGTTAAAATACTAGCCTAGAGCGCCATCTACTGTTAAAATACTAGCCTAGAGCGTCATCTACTGTTAAAATCCTAGAGCGCCATCTACTGTTAAAATCTAGCCTAAAGCGCCATCTACTGTTAAAATACTAGCCTAGAGCACCATCTACTGTTAAAATCCTAGAGCGCCATCTACTGTTACAATACTAGCCTAGAGCGCCATCTACTGTTAAAATCCTAGAGCGCCATCTACTCTTAAAATCTTAGCCTAGAGCGCCATCTACTGTTAAAATACTAGCCTAGAGCGCCATCTTTAGAATTATTTTAAAGATGGGAAAAACTGGTTGCCCTAACCTATTATGCAAAAATCACTTTTCAGAAGGTGTTGTGTGGCCGCAGTATGTAAATATAACTAGCCTCTAATGGTAAACCATAATTAACTCTATTTTGGGGTGACGCAGTGGCGCAGTAGGTAGTGCTGTCGCCTCACAGCAAGAAGGTTGCTAGTTCGAGCCTCGGCTGGGTCAGTTGGCGTTTCTGTGTGGAGTTTGCATGTTCTCCTCCGTTAGCGTTGGGTTTCCTCCGGGTGCTCTGGTTTCCCCACAGTCCAAAGACGTGGTACAGGTGAATTGGGTAAGCTAAATTGTCCATAGTGTATGAGTGTGAATGAGTGTGTATGGATGTTTTCTAGAGATGGGTTGCAGCTGCAAGGGCATCCGCAGCGTAAAACATATGCTGGCTAAGTTGGTGGTTCATTCCGATGTGGCGACCCCTGATTAATAAAGGGACTAAGCCAACAAGAAAATGAATGAATGAATAAATAAATAACTCTATTTTATGACAGTTTATGTGCTTGTCCAGAAAATGCTTCTTGATTTAAGAATTGTTAGATATTTGGACTAGAAACAAGATTAAAGAAATCTAAGTAAGGGTGCTTTCAAACTAGCACGTTTGGTCCACACCCGGGTTCATTTGACGTCAGAGTTCGATACGTTTAGCTAGTGTGAACTAGGGTTGTCGCTATACCATTAATAAATCCTAAGGCTCGTACACACCGGGACGCTTTTCGTTTGCGTTTATCGTCAGCCCAAACGATTTTCACTGGCGTCGAGCAGAAGAGTATGTAAAATCACTCCTTGACGTTAGATGGCACTACACAACTTTAAGCTTCTGACACCCCACCTATAACACAGAAGAAGAGGAAGAGAGGAAGTTCACACGCTTGTTGTTAAAGTTACTGGTGACTCAAACAAGCATGGATGGTTCCAGTAGCAGCTCCAGCTGTAGCGATGAATACATGATTATTGTTGACCAGCGCAATAAGCAGCTCTACATTCCTATCGCCTCTGGGCATCTTCTATAATACAGTTTTGCGCTTGAGCGCCTCCAAGTGCTGTTTACTGTAACTTCAGCAGCTCCGTGGACGTGAACAAAAGTGCCAAACTGATTGGTGGAGAAGGCATTGACGCGGCACGTCAAAACAAAAAAACAAGCTTGAGGCATTTCTTAAAAAAATAAAGCTTTTACGTCTGCCATTTTGGGCGTTGGTGTGCACGATCACATTGGCGTTCTTTATTTAGTCACGAGGTGTTAACGGCAATGGAAAACGCGAGCAAAAAATGTCTGTGTGCACGGGCCTTAAGGGTGCTTTCAAACGAGCATGTTTGGTCCACACCCGGGTTCGTTTCACGTCAGAGTTTGGTACATTTAGCTAGTGTAAACTAGGGTTGTCGCCATACCATTAATAAATCTTAAGGTTTTTACACACCGGGACGCCTTTCGTTTGCGTTTATCGTCAGCATTTTACGAGATGTTTTTCTGGATTCGTTCGCCTCTGGGCATCTTTTTCAATGAGCATTCGCATTGACAGTTTTGCGCTTGAGCGCCTCCAAGTGTTGTTCACTGTAACTTCGGCAGCTCCGTGCACATGAACAAAAGTGCCAATCTGATTGGTGGAGAACGTTTGGACGCGGAGCATCAAAAAAAAAAAATGAGCATGAGGCGTTTCCTTAAAAATGACGCTTTTACGCCTGGCGTTTTGCGCGTTTGTGGGTACAATCACATTGGCGCCCTTCATTTAGTCAAGAGGCGTTAAACGCCAACAACAAACGTGAGCAAAAAGTGTCCCGGTGTGCACAGGCCTTTACAATACTAAACTAACTGAAGCATTATAATACAAAGTAGTACTGCAATACTGTAATTCATAACTCAAATTATAAAGTAAATTGTCAGAAATACAATATTTTATGTTATAATAGGCCTAGTTGAATTTAATTCATATCTCTCTTAAGGCCAAATGTATTATTTGCACCTCACTTCACTGTTTATTTAGTAGATAACTGACCAACAAAACATACATCAAAATAAAGATATAAATTATACCCAATGAAATTTGTTATAAAAAATTTTTTCCAACAAAATTAGCCTATATGAAGTGGTCAAAACTTGTTTCTATGTTTCCTGTTGCTATTTTTGGATTTTAATCATTTTTTTCAGTCTTATCAGGTAATTATCCAAAGTAATTTAACATTTCACATTCAACGCAGCAGCACGAGTGGTCTTTAATGAACCTAAAAGAGCACATGTCACTCCACTGCTCATCCGTTTGCACTGGCTGCCAGTTGCTGCTCGCATCAAATTCAAAGCTCTGATGTTTGCTTACAAAGCGACTTCTGGCTTTGCTCCTTCTTATCTGCTCTCACTTCTGCAGATGTATGCGCCCTCCAGAAACTTGCGTTCTGTGAATGAACGTCGCCTCGTGGTTCCATCCCAAAGAGGGAAGAAATCACTTTCCCGAACTCTCGCGTTCAATCTGCCCAGTTGGTGGAATGAACTCCCTAACTGCATCAGAGTCACTAACTACTCTGCCGTCAGAGTCACTCGCTGTCTTCAAGACACCACTAAAAACTCAATTATTTAGTCTCCACTTTCCTTCCTCATCTGCAATTGCCTCTTTGGCTTCACCGCTAACTGTATTACAAAAAAAATGAAAATGACTAATGTTTTGCTTCTTACATTTTACACAGCTGAAACTTGCCTACAGCACTTATTCATTTATGCTCTTATAGTTGTGTAATAGTTGTCCTCATTTGTAAGTCGCTTTGGATAAAGGCATCACAGTATGTTCTGAACGTTTTTAATGTTTTAAGTCGCTGTCTCTATGTTACCAAAAGATGCATTAAAAGTAGTTTTTGTGAATGAATTATTTTTCCATATTAAGTGGTCTTCTTTAAACCATTTTTCTTTTTCCCCCATATAGAACACCTCTGCTCTGGTTCGACCGTCCGCCTTTAAACCCGTGGTGCCCAAGAGTTTTCACTCCATGCAGAATCTGGTTGGTCAGTCTGGAAGCGGTGGCGGTCGCTCTGCTGGATCGGGTGGAGGCTCGGACGCCCCGCAGTCTCTCTGTGAGCAGGACAGTCCTGAGCGAGACCCTTCAGGGGGAAACGATGGCCAGGGCGGCATGTCTGACTCCGGACGCAACTCTCTAACCAGCCTGCCCACGTATGCAGGTCCCAGTTTGAGCTACGGCCCCGCTCAGGCCCTCGGGCCCCTCAGTGCCTCCACCAGTCACATCAACAGACTAAGCTCTGCTGCTGCCCCGCTGGAGAAAGGGGAGAAACCCAAATATCAGAACGGGCTGAGCGTGTCTGACAGCGGGCAGTCGTCCTCCGGGAAGAGCTGCTTATCGTATCACAGACTCTGCCATCTGACGGAGCCCAGCGCAACCGTCCAGCCCTCGCCCTCCACCGACGACATCATCCAGGACTTGGAGGACCGGCTGTGGGAGAAGGAGCAGGAGGTCAGCAAACACATACAGCTGAAATCAGAATTATCAGCCCTGATTTACTTTATCTTTGTCATGATGACAGTAAATAATATTAGACTAGATATTCTTCAAGATATTAGTATTCAGCTTAAAGTGACATTTAAAGGCTTCACTCAGTTAATGCAATTAATTAGGCAAGTTAGGGTAATTAGGCAAGTCATCGCATAATAGTGGTTTGTTCTGTAGACTTTCCAAACTAAATATTGCTTAAGGGGCAGGGCTTAACAATAAGGACTGCCCGGGGCCACCATGCGAGATGCTCGGGACAGTAGACAGGATGGTTGCTGGGGTCAGTGTATCTTCTGGTCATCAGATTTTCGTTTTTTCAATTCAAAAACGAATATTGAAATGAAAGTGAAATGCATATATATATATATATATATATATATATATATATATATATATATATATATACACACAGTATATATGTGGGCTCAGTGTGGGCCCGTCCGCTACGCCAGGGCTTCCCAAACTTTTCAGCCCGAGACCCTCAAAATGACAATGTTAGTGACTCGCGACCCTCAATATCCTCTAAGGTGGCTATAAATACAGAAACCTTGCATGCAATGGCGCACACACACACCAATAGTCCCAAGTCTATTCTTCATTGGATTTTTTTTATTGTATGTCGGTGCTGTAAAATGTGCCAGAAAGTTTAACCTGGTGTTCTAAAATCAATCTGCTGCATCTGACGCTACTGCACCTATAATATAATTACCCCAGGGGTCGCAATCCAACAGAACTAGTAACTATAAGCTACTATAGTGACTGTATAGTAACTATAAACAACGTTTTAGATAAAATATGGTAATTCTTATTGTTTAATAAAAATAAATAGATTTTTGGAAATCACCAGACGACCCCCCTTCATTGTCCCGCGACCCCTCGGGGGGTCCCGACCCCCACTTTGAAAACCACTGCGCTACACCACTGATTGATCTATAATGCCATATGATTATTCAAATGATGTGCACGCTTTCGGTTTCATTTTCACTGCTAAGTACGGTTCATACTTACCGTGCGGGGGTGGTTATAACGGTCACAGGGGGGCCTCCCCGTGGTGCATGCCCTGCGGGCCCGTCCACTATGCCACTGTTTACGGACCTGTGTGTACTGTGTTAATTCCCAAACAATTCCCAAACAGTGTTTAACAGAGCAAAAATTGTTCATAGTAATTCCTATAATATTTTTTATTTTGGAGAAAACTCTTGTGTTTTATTTCGGCTAGAATAATGCCCAATTCACACGGGGCATCAGCGTCAACGCTTGACAGAGGACGTGTCTGAAGTTGGAGCTGACGCAATCATCAGAGCAGCGTCAGCCAATGAAATCAGACCGCAACTGGCTACTGTCTGAGCTGGGGCATTTGCATAAAGTGATTTGATTGTCTTGACGCTTCGATTGGTGCTTGAAAAGATGAGAATTTCCCAACTTCTACAGCGAGCAACGCCACTGAAGTGGCGCCAACGAATCCATTACTCAGTTCGGCAACACTTGACGTCACCCATTCAAAGTGACTGTAAAGAATTGACGTTGACATCCCGTGTGAATCGGGCCTAAAAACAGTTTTGTTTTTAAACTATTTTAAGGTCAATATTATTAGCCCTCTTCAGCAATATTAGTGTTGGATTGTCTCCAGAACAAACCACTGTTATACAATGACTTGCCTTATTACCCTAACTTTACCCTAATTACCCTAGTGAAGCCTTTAAATGTGTTAAAAATCTAAATTGGGTCAAAAAATATACTGGGGAGGCTAAAAATTCTGACTTAAACTGCTTTCCTCAGGTGATCCACATGCGGCGTAATCTGGACCAGAGTGAGGCGGCCATCGCTCAGGTGTTTGAGGAGAAGCAGCGCGTGTGGGAGCGGGAGATGGAGGATCTACGACAGAACTATGCCGGCCGGCTCCAGCAGGTCACACACCGGGCCCAGCGCACGCAGCATGCCCTGCAGACACACATCGCACGCCTGCAGCAGGACAAGGGCCGCCTGCAGGAGGAGATCAGCGCACTGCTGGCCCAGAGAGAGGAACTTGAGCGCAAGTGTCTGGACTACCGCAAGGAGCAGGCCGACATACTGCCCCGGCTGGAGGAGACCAAGTGGGAGGTGAGAGGTTTTATTTTTACTATTTTCTTTAAGACTCCTAAGATTTACATATTATTTAACATAACAACCAGTGTAAGAGAAGTAATGCATTACAATATTAAGTTAGGGCAGCACTGTGACTCAGTGGTTAGGCTGGGTCAGTTGGCATTTCTGTGTGGAGTTTGCATGTTCTCCCCGTGTTGGCGTGGGTTTCCTACAGGTGCTCTGGTTTCCCCCACAGTCCAAACACATTCATTGATTGATTGTATGAATGCATGATTGAATGATTGATTGATTGATTGATTGATTGATTGATTGATTGAATGCATGCATTATTGATTGATTGTTTATGCATGCATGCATGGATGAATGATTGATTGTATGCATGAATGAATGAATGAACGAATAAATTGATTGTATGCATGCATGAATGATTGATTGATTGATTATATGCATGCATGAATAAACAAATGAATAAATGATTGTAGGCATGCATGAATAAATGATTGATTGACTGATTGTATGAATGAGCGATTAATTGATTGCGTGCATGCATGAATGATTGATTGATTGACTGATTGTATGAATGAACGATTGATTGACTGATTGTATGAATGAACGATTGATTGATTGATTGAATACATGCATGAATTAATGATTGATTGATTGATTGATTGTATGAATGAATGATTGATTGATTGTATACATGCATGAATGAATGATTGATTGACTGATTGTATGAATGAATGATTGATTGATTGATTGATTGATTGATTGATTGATTGATTCTATGCATGCATGAATGAATGATTGATTGACTGATTGTATGAATGAATGATTGATTGATTGACTGTATGCATGTATGAATGATTGATTGATTGATTGATTGATTGATTGATTGATTGATTGATTGTATGTATGCATGAATGATTGATTGATTGACTGTATGCATGTATGAATGATTGATTGATTGATTGATTGATTGATTGATTGATTGATTGATTGATTGATTGATTGATTGATTGATTGATTGATTGATTGATTGATTGAATGCATGCATCAATGAATGATTGATTGTATGCATGTATGTATGCATGAATGATTGGATGAATGTTAGTATGTATACATAGATATATACACTAGATATCGCATAGGGACCCTGAGCATGCGTCAATAGCGCCGCCACATTGGTACAGTGCTCCCAGGACAAATGTCATTCAACCGCACTAGTCAAGACAGTGTTATTATGTGAAGATGCGGGACTTTAACGCTGTCTACGGGTGTAGTAATGAGCAAACAAAGAAAACAAAGCACAAAGGCAGAACATTTCATAGGTAATATTAATTTTTTCTGTTTTTGTATGTTCTGAGCTTTTGTGCTAATCAGGTAACGTTATTGATGATAACAGTCACTTACTGCATTCTCCATACGGCAAAGCAGCTCCAACTCGCACTAAACACTCGGCTTATGCTAGTTTTGTTGAATAAAATCAGCAAACAATGCAAAAGAAATATGACAACGAGATGCTGCGCTGCCAGAAACTTGTATTATTGTCGGCTAACGTTAGTGTAAGAGTCGATCATAACAGAGATTCATTCACAAGCGAATCGCTCTCTCCGTCAGTATGAGCAGTGAAAGCAGGAGAGGAGCTGTGTTTCAGGACATGATTAGATCAAATTTAACAGGGAGGGTGGATAGTACATTTCTGTACACACAAACACAAGCTGTGTGTCAGTAATGCCCGTGCGATCACTGATCCAATGTAGAAAAGTGATGTCAAATCATAATTCTCGTAATTAGAAAAATAAAATTACACACTAACATCCAGGAAAACTCCCGATCATAGATATATGTGTATATGTGTATATCTCTGGCTTTGGATGGCCACAGTCCTCCACTGTACCTTGGTCCCGCATTCATTTCAAAGGAGCGCTACCCTGTAGCAAGATGGCGGCGCTATTGACGCATTCCGTCCAATAGACAACAATAGGCCAGGCGACATCTAATGTATATATCTATGGTATGTATGTATGAAATTAATATGAATTTCATATATTTTGTGTAATTGACTACAGCTGAGCCCTGACTGTGTGTTGTTGTGCTCTGTTCAGCTGTGTCAGAAAGCAGGTGAGATCTCTCTACTTAAGCAGCAGCTCCGCGAGAGCCAGAATGAGGTGACGCAGCGGGCCGGAGAGACGGTGGCTCTCAGGGGTCAAATGAAGGATCTGAACGCCCAGCTGAAGGAGCGCGAGGACACCATGATCGGCCTAAAGGACTCGTACAACAGCAAGAGCCGAGAGCTGGAGAGATGCGAAGGAGAGCTGAAGAGAACACTGGCGGAGGTGGAAACACACACACACACACACACTTAAATTTATTTAGATTTTACTGTTGTTTCTCGTCCAAATATCTAAAAGCTCTTAAATCAAGAAGCATTTTCTAGACAAGCCAAAAATATTGTCTTGTTTGCTGAAATAATGAGTCGAAATTAAGTTTGTTTTTCTTAAAACAAGCAAAATAATCTGACAGGATGTTCTTGAACGAGTCGTTCATTTTAAACTAATCTTTTGTACGACTCGAGAACGATGAGTCCTCTCTATCATTCGCGCACTCACACATTTGTGCAGGTGGAGCTGAAGATTAGTTCCTTTTTCAAGTCTATTATCGGGTTTGAGTCATTTATTCATCACATGAAAGACAGAAGCCAATCATACGCAGTCAGAGCCAGAGAAAATTTTGATCCGTTCATCTCTCAAGTCCTCGGTTTGAGTCATGTCTCTTTACATGCTGTCACGTGATGAACGAACGACTCAAAAGCCAGAGGATTTGATAGGTGGACTAATCATGACTCCTTTCGGCTCAGACTGTGTGCATTAGTTAAGCTTATATAGGACTGTCTGTAGCTATGTTTCCATCCAAAAATGCGAATTAACTATGTGCAAAACTGTATAATCGCATAAAAGACGTGCGAATAAAGCAGCGTTTCAATCCAACAAGTCAAAGCAAACAAAATCGTCACTTCCTGATTAACTGGTGCCAAATAGCAACAGTAAAAACGGAATTTGCTGTGGAATGAGAAGCTGCGTGAATCTTTTCTTTATTTAATAAATGACTTGCGCCTCAGAAGACAATCCTGACCCGCAGTGAACGCGTGGTGGCATTTAAAGGCGTCAGACGCGCAGCACCGGAGATATCGATATTTTAGTATCAATTCGCACATCACTATTGAAAACAGTCACATTAACCCTTCACAAGAAGCGTATCGTTGGCTGAAAAACACTAGCTGTGCATATAGACCATAGTTATCTCTCTGTAATCTACATTTGTGCGTCCGCAGGTGTCGATGTTGCGTGATAAGCTGGTGGTGTTCGAGTCTGAGGTTGTGGGTCTGAAACGGGCTCTGAATGAGCTGAGCTGCAGAAGCGATCACACCGCGGTTCTGAGCTCCATCAGCGGCAGCAGCAGTTTACCGTGGGCCGGACTACACTCGCCTAGAACCCCCGAACCCTTATCTGTGCTCGGCTCCACGGTCGAAACCTTCCTCAGCTTGCAGAGTGACGAAGCCAAAGCGCAGCGGCAGGAGGCGGGAGAGCTGCGGCGTCAGCTGGAGCGGCTGCAGGGCGAGCTACACCTGGAGAAACAGCAGAGAGAGAGGCAGGCGCTCACCTTTGCGCAGGAGAGACACACCTGGCAGGACGAGAAGGAGCGCGTGCTGAAATATCAGGCGCAGCTGCAGCTCAGCTATGTAGAGACGCTGCAGAGAAATCAGGCGCTGGAGGAACGTGTCGGACAGCTTGGAGCCAAAATGGCGCCAGGATCACCACCACCTATCAGCCTCTCCATCCCCGTCCCAGTGACCGTCACTCTGTCACCAGGTTATTCATTTATTTTTATTTTTTCACACTTTCAGTCCACATAAAATCTAAACTAACATATGATTTTGTTAGCTCACACTGTTAGTTTTGTGGTGAATGATTCATCTGTGGCGAGGCAGTGGCGCAGTACATAGTGCTGTTGCCTCACAGCAAGAAGGTCGCTGGGTCGCTGGTTCGAACCTCAGCTTAGTTGGTGTTTCTGTGTGGAGTTTGCATGTTCTCCCTGCCTTCGCGTTGGTTTCCTCTGGGTGCTCCGGTTTCCCCCACAGTCCAAAGACATGCGGTACAGGTGAATTGGGTAGGCTAAATTGTCCGTAGTGTGTGTGTTAATGTGTGAGTGGATGTTTCCCAGACATGGGTTGCAGCTGGAAGAGCATCCACTGTGTAAAAACATATGCTGGATAAGATGGTGGTTCATTCCGCTGTGGCGACCCCAGATTAATAAAGGGACTAAGCCGACAAGAAAATGAATGAATGAATGATTCATCTGTGCATGTCATTAAGAAAACAACTATAATTTGCTCTTGTAATCTTTAATTGAAATCCAAAAATGCACTTCCTGTTTGTTTTCTGTTAAATTCTAGGATCAGGGCCGTTTCTCAATATCACGTACGCAAAGTTCGGACTTGCGTCCTTGGAAGTTCAGAATTGAAAAGTTCAACCTTAAAAGAACGAACTCCCGAGGACGCAAGGTAAACAAGTCGGGTACTTCTTCAAATGGATCGGAAGTAATATAAGTTTATAACATCGCTTACCTCACCACGGATTCACTGTACATTCAAAGTCTAAGACAGTGGGCCTCCCTTTTGACACAACTTATCCATTGGCGCCCCCCTCCTCCCAAACACGCACGCGCACACGCACACACACAAACACAGATCCAAGAACTGTCCATCCCAGTCCCAACAGTCGAAGTTTAGCGGGTCTCATGCTGTCAATAGCCAAAATATCTTGACAAACCACACATAAAGGTCGTGGTTCATCAGCTGGTCCTGTCCACGTAAATCCTAAACTCAAATACTGATCATCATATCGTCGTCTTTTGGGTTTAAGCCCTGAACTTGAAGGCTTTGAATCGGGGGGGTCTCAGAAACCGATCCATTGTATTAGCAGGCATATACCTGTATTGGCGGGCTGGCCAAACAGAAGCGAATTCACAGCTATGGCCTTCTGGGTAAAAAAGGTTTTCTTATTTTTGACGTATCATTTTTTTTTTAGCTTTGTTTAATTTAAACGTTTAATTATAATAAAACATACAGTACATATAATAATTAAACTTAATAATTATATTTTTATTATATAATTTTTTTTCCACGTTACATTTTTGATTTAAGAAAATGTACACATATTAATATTAGGGATGTAACGTTATCAGAATTTCACGGTACGGTAATACCTCAGTATGAATGGCACGGTACGGTATTTATTGATTAATTTACAAAAAAAACAAAACTAATGAAAAGACTCGAAAAAAAGTGCCAAAAGTGTTTATTTACCTTAGCACAGAACATATCAATGACACAAATTAGTCATCTATCTGTACGTTTCGAAACAGGAACTTAAATTTTTCAGTTTTAATAACAAAAAACTATTAAACCATATAAAAAAAAATAAAGTTTCAATTTAGTATTGCTGAAAACTCATCACATTCAACATTTAATCACTCACTCACTCAGATAGAGATGGGTTTTAAAGAAAATGATCATATAACTATAATCTGGTAAAAGCTGGGATCTCTGGGCATGTCCCCTGCAACAGAAATAAACCCTCTAATTTGGGACTGAGGTTTCTGGGACAGAGAGATATGATTTAGCCAAGGTTGACAGCAGTGGGTAACGCTGTGCATTGTCTTTCCACCACTTGAGAGGACAAGCCATGAGTGAGATAGAGGTCTCTTTGCGATACAAGTCAATGTCTGCATCAATCTAACAAGTGTGCTGTGTTCTGCAGTCCCCATGACTGTTATTAGTCGTATTCTCCGACTTATATTTCTCCACAGTCTGGCAGTGCCTGCTTACTGTTTTTGTCTTTGTCTGTCACCTTTTCTCCTTTTTCGTATCTTTTTAGAAAGAAACCGAAATGCTTCCACACATCCGATTTAAAACCCGCTTTAGGTTCGATCATTTCCAGCTCTTTTTCTTCCCCGCTACTTGCAGCACACTCCATTTCCACATAACTGGATCTGTAGTGACAACAGACCGCAAAGGATGATGGCCACGCCTGGGCTGATGGGAATTGTAGTTCCCGCTACCTCCCGTTCGCTTCATTCGCCAAAGCAAACTTTTCTCAGAAATATAGTTTTATTGAGTCATGCGGCTACGGTATTATTGAAAAAAATAATATTGCGGTATGACGGTATTTAAAATATTGTTACATCCCTAATTAATATAAACGTGAAGTAAAATGAGTTATTATACACAGACAGGTGTCTTTGATTATCAGATTTAATAAACTACAATGGTAATTATACAAGTATATACACAATAAGAAATCAAGATTACATCAAACAAATTAATAAAGACAAACTTCGTACAACACGTTAACACAATTAAAGACAATTATAAAAGGTAACAAAATAACACTGCCAAAATAATACACCTGAGAACAAATGATAGATTTAAAAGACCAAAACTGTCCGTTAGATATACACAAGATGAATTAGATATCATGTTTTAACTACAATGGAGAGATGAGATCCAGCGGTACATCCGAGATGGACTGGCCGAAGTAAAGCTGCTCCAGTGGGGGATGTGATGACGGAGCTCCCGTTGGCAGGCTGGGAGTCTGGGTTCACATAAGCTGAGGCACATCCTCAAAGACGCGATGTTGTTGTGAATAACGGCTGATTCGAGTTTAAAACAACTACATTCTCGCCTGAAAACTCTTAAAACTTTATTTTGTGACACAGTAAAGGAGTATTTTTAAAACCGTGCGGGTTTCCCCCTCCGCCATTAGAGCTTGCTGGTTACGCTGCAATGCATTCTGGGATATGTGAGCTTCGCAAGTTCGCTCAAGTCACCTCGCGATGCATCCTTGGCCAAAGGCCAGAGAAAGTACACATCCGGGAATTTCATGTGTACTTGGAAAGATGTGAACTTTGAATTGGAACAGTACTTTGTAGACGGTCGATGACGTTTCACGAGGAAAGAACGCAAGTACAGACAAGAATGCATATTGAGAAACAGCCTGTGACTGTTATTAGTGTTGTTTAGGTTTAATAAAACATTTATTGTGATTTTCTTAAATTGTAATTCAGTTAACAAAACTGTTTTTTGACCAACAGTTTTCGTCTTAGTTTATAATTTAATTTCAGTTAGTTTTCAGTGACTCATTTAGTTTTATTCTTTAATTTATTGTGATTTCTTAACATTTTATTTGAGTTTTGTCAAACAGTTTTTCATTTTCATTTGCTTAAATCTCCTTACTCTGTCCCGGTCCACAGATGAGCTGAAACCGCCTGTCCTGCATCAGCTGGCGCCTCCATGGCCAGGCCCGTCCCGGTTGGAGAGGATCGAGTCCACTGAGATTTAGACTTTGTAAAAGACAATCGACGTCTGTTCAGCGGAGACGCTTCTGTTTCTGAAGACCTGAAGAGGAAGGAGAAATACACACTGAGTTTTTCATCTTGTTTCTAGTCCAAATATCTAAGAATACTGAAATCAAGAAGCATTTTCTGGAGAAGTATAAAATATAATCTTGTATTCAGAAATAATGAGTTTTTTTGTTCAAACTAAATAAATTGTGAAATAATGTTGCTTGTTAGTTTTAATTAAGTTTATTTTACTTACTCCATTATTAATTTGCTTGCCGTAAGGATAAACTCACCTAATTAGGACTCATTATTTCTGAAAACAAAACAATATTTTTTGTTTGTCTATAAAATGCTTCTTGATTTAAGATTTTGTAGATATTTGCACTAAAAACAAGACAAGGAAACTCTAAGAAAAGCATTTTTAACAGTGCAGCTTTTGGTTATGGAAGAAATGCACATTTGTTTGACATCACACTGTAAAAAATATCTGTAAATGAGCAGTTTTCAGTATTTTGTGATTCATGTTTTTTATTTTTCCCTGTTTATTTCTGCTTTTTAATTGCATTATGGGATCTTGATCATTCTTGCAACAACTTTTAACCTTGAAAACGGACTTGTGCAGTTGTTTGTAGTGTCTGGGTTGGTGTTGTATATTACACTACAGAAACCTTGTAATAAACTGCAGCACATTTTCTGTTATTTTACACACTTATTTCTCTAGATATTATTTTTTATATTAATTCAAACGACTAAAATGTCAATAAAAGTCACTTTGTTAAACTAGGAGTTGAATTTTCAACATCAGAAGCAGACAGAGCAGACATTTACATCCCATAATGCAATTCACCACCACAAATAAACACAAAACACACAAAATACAGAAACTGTTCAATAACAGATATTGTTTACAGTGCAGTGTTAAAGGTCAGTGACCTTTTGACCTCAGTGTTATGGACAAAAACAATCCCCAAAGCTGCATTTATTTAATCAGAAATACAGTGAATGCTGTGAAATGTTACTGCAAATCGAAAGTTTTGGTTTTTAATGTTAATGTAAAGTGAACTTGAATTTATTTATGTGATATAAAGCTGTATTTTCAGCATTATGCTATTAACGTTACTATTAAATAGATTATCATTTCAAATAAATATATGTTTTAAAAGCCATTTGGACTAAAGTAATGATGCTGAAAATTCATCTTTCACTAATGATTAAAATAGAAAAAATATTAAGTCATAAATTTGTGCAAAAAGTGACATAGGAAAAGTGAATAGGAATAAAAGGAATCAATTTACTGTCACATTTATCAACAGAATGCTTCCCAACTAATACAGATATAATATTTTTTATCCAAAAAAAATTAAGCAGCACTTTTTAATACTAATAAACAAACTTTTTTTCTTGATATTCAAATCAATATATTACACTATATAACTGATATATTGATACTGATTTGTGACACTGAAAAATAATGACAATAAAAATTGACTGAAATTATTATATTTTAAAAAAATACTGTAAAAAATAAGATGTAAAAAAATTATATTTTAAAACATATTTTTAAAGCAGTTTAGACTGAAATAATGATGTTAAAAATTACTGAAATTATTACATCAAAGAAATTAGTCATAAAAAAATTATATATATAAAAAATTATTAATTAAAACAAAATTTTAAAATAGCAATCTGGACTTAAATTGAGGCAAAAAGTTAAGTGAAATTATAATAAAACCAATGAATGAAATATTGAAAAATATATATTTAAAAATAATATATCAAAAAAACAAAGTATACAGAAAAAAATTATTTAAAGATGATTCCTTGGATTTAATAATTTTTTAAGTGGTTGTAAACAATTTATTTGGTTTGAATTTAAACAAACAAATTAAGTTAAACTTTACTATTTAAATAGTTTTGCAGACACCATGTTTGAAGCTGAAATTATTATATTAAAAAACTGGGTTGCGGCTGGAAGGGCATCCGCTGTGTAAAACATATGCTGGAGTAGTTGGCGGTTCATTCCGCTGTGGCGAGCACTGATAAATCAGCAACTAAGCCAAGGGAAAATTAATCAATAATTGTAAAAAATATGTTATTAAAAAAAACATTTAAAAAAAAACATTTGGACTAAATTAATGATGCTAAAATTAACTGAAATTATTACATCAAAGAAATCATTGCAAAAAATATATATAAAAACATTATTAATTAAAATACATTTAAAAATAGCAGTTTGGGCTTAAGTATTGAAACTAAATTAAATGTTTTAATTTAATTAAAAAATTGTAAAAAAATACACACACACACACACACACACACACACACACACACACACACACACACACACACACACACACATATATATATATATATATATATATATATATATATATATATATACACAATTAAGACTAAAGTAATGACTCTAAAAATGAACTGAAATTATTATATTTAAAACAATTGTAAAAAAGAACATATAAATCAAGTAAACTCAGCACTCCTGAAGCATTGTTTGTTTCCCTTTTGCATATTCATTCATTTACCTTCCGCTTATTTATCAGGGTTCGCCACAGCAGAATGATCCGCCAACTATTCCAGCATATGTTTTAAGCAGCGGATGCTCTTCCAGCGGATGCTCATGCTTTTTAGTTCATCAGTTCCCCTTTAGCGCATGTCTATGGACTGTGGGGGAAACTGGAGTACCTGGAGGAAACCCACGCCAACACGGGGAGAGCATGCAAACTCCACACAGAAATGCCAACTGACCCAGACAGGACTCTAACCAGCGAACTTCTTGCTATGTAAAAATAGCAAAATGATCTAAAAATCATTTTAAAAAGGCATTCGGACTTGCAGTAATATTTCACAGTTTTCACTGTATTTTGATCAAACACATGCAGCCATAAACATTAAACAAATAATACTGTACATGAAGAACTATTGTGTGATGCTTCAGGGATGGCCTGCAGAGTCTATGCAGGACCACCAGGGGTCACCAGACGCAAACAGAGGGCTCCTATCTGCGGATAGAAATACTTGAAAACAAAAAAGAGAGAAGTCGCTTTTGTCTCGGTTCTTTTATTTTGGCAAAACAGACTGAAGTGAACTTTGTTCCTGGAAGGTTCTGGACTGAGAGTTGCTGCTATGTTCTGATCACGTGATGTCGCAGTGTATTGTGAGTGGGTAGACAGACAGGCTGTGTGAACATGATGGTTATTTATGTGAAATTGTTATTTCCAGTATACCAACATATTGCGTGTGAATATTTTGAAAAGATGAACAAATTATTTCATCGTTCTGATTATTGTGAATTAATGAAGCCGATATTTTAGCTTTGTTTTTTTATTTTACTGTAACATGACAAGAGTTGAAGGCTAAATTATTCAGCTGTGACATTTCCAAATATTTCCAAAGTCATGTTTAACAGAGCAATGGACATTTTACAGTATTCCCCTTCATATTTTTCATCTTTTTGTTTTCGTTTGGCTATAATAAAAGCAGATTTTCTTTTTTTTAAAAAATGTTGAGGTCAATATTATTAGCCGCATTTAAGGTGACATTATTCCTCTCTTTAAAAGATATAAAACGCATCTCTGCTGTGTCTATAGTGTGTGTGTTTCAGTTTGAGCTGAGAATAGCACACAGATAATGTTCTCCAGCTCTCTGAAACTGACCCTTTTAGGCTTTGATCTTAATTGTGGTGATTTGGTGACTGTCACTTTAAATTCAAATGAGAGAGTGCTCTTTTCAGAAGAGGGCGGAGCTACAGACGCCTGTGCTTCAGCATAGTGACAGAAGCAAAACAGCAGTGTGTGTGTTGTCAGTGCTGGTCAGCAGGGCCGGATTAAGAACACATTGGGCCCTGGGGCCATAGCAAATCAAAGGGCCCCCTTAAACTTTTTTTTACCTCACTAATATATATATATATATATATATATATATATATATAGTTGTTGTTATTATTAGTATTATTAATAATTTACTAATTAATTTTATCTAATTTTTTCACCATTTGATTTATATTTTATTTTATATATATATATATATATATATATATATATATATATATATATATATAACCTTTTAAAATTGCACTTTAAGCTGAATACTAGTATCTTTCAAAAATAATTTCTAAAGTATTTTGTTCTGTCATCATGGCAAAGACTAAAGTATTTAGTTATTAGAAATTATTAAATTAAAACTTTTTTTTTTTTGAAGAAAAAAAAACATCTTTTCTACATTAAACAGCACTTGGGAAATATTTGAAAATAATTGTAGGAATATTTTTGCCTTCAACTGTGTGTGATAATTTTCACCTATGAAATGGTTCAAATGCATCGAGTTTCCAAACCATATTTCCTTTTGATGTAGTTCTGATGTATTTATTTGATTTGATGATGTAATTTGTTGATTTAGAGATCAAATGCTATGTTTTTATACTTCTATTGTTTGTATTTATGTTACTGTAATGACTTGCGTAAAAGCATATCCAATCAAAGACGCATTAAACGACAAAGACACCAATCAATATGCATCATCTTTAAATATATATATTTGTTTTTTGGAGAAAAATCATGATGTGTGAATTATTTCCCATGAAACCAACAATTTACTGGCTGACAAACAAATTATACACTGTAAACAAAATCTGTTAATGAACTGTATTTAGTGATCCACATGTGTTTTCAGTTTATTTGCAGTTGTGAATTGCATTATGGGATGTTGATAATGCATACAGGTCTGTTTTGACCCTTAAAATAAACAGAATATTTTATTAAATATAACAGCAATCATCTTTTAATCTTTAAGCTTTTAACAGCAATAATCTTTTTTTTAAGTTCCTTGTTTACAGTTGGGCTATTTTTTTTTTTTGTTCAGCAATTTATTTTTAAGTTTAACTTTGTTTTTATTGATACACATTATAGTCAGAGAGCCACAGCATCAAATCCGAAGAATCAGATCAACTGCTCCAATCTAGCAGCAGAACACAATTAGCTCGCGTTCTCTTTCTCTCTGAATTAAGCAATATGATAACATATTCTTGCATTAAAAACAATATAAAAAAAACACAAAACAAATAAAAAATATATAATAATAATAAGATAAAAGATAAAAAAACACTCCATTCATAACTAAGCCTGAGGCAAGGAAATATTTCAGCTATATATGAGCAATTTCATGCAAATGTCAACCTTGCCATGAAAAAAAGTTTTCACTAAAATAGGGAAACACATTATTTGAGTAAGCAAGTATTTTACAGTATTTAAAAAAATACTCCAAAATGTCTCTGTCTGTGTTTTCAAACTATTATATTTGATTTACCAAAGTCACACAAGTGCCAATTTCACATCTATCACAACCATAAAGGAAAAGTATCACATCCATAATGAAGCTTTTCCCTCAAAATTGCAAAAATATTCAATAAAATAAAAATTTACGATTTTTGTTCTATTGTGAGCCAAGTCTTATCCTTTTTATTAGCCTTATTTCTTTTAGGTTTTGCAGTTTAATTCACAGAATTTCTACAAAGCAACTTTTTTTGTCACATCCATAAAGCCGGTTTATTCTTCTCATTTAAACTATTAAAAATGTTTACAGATTAATATTTTTCTGGTCCCATAACTCTGTGTTTAGTTGTTTTGAAAAATATAAACAGTTGCTTCAATATAATGTTAAAATATACTTTCTCTGTGAATTTATGTTTTAAGTTTTTACTGTAAATGTCACATCCATAACGCTGGAATTGCTCATACAGTTGAAGTCAGAATTATTAGCTCCCTTTGAATTTTTTTCTTCTTTTTAAAATATTTCCCAAATGATGTTTAACAGAGCAAGGAAATGTTCACAGTATGTCTGATAATATTTTTTCTTCTGGAGAAAGTCTTATTCGTTTTATTTCTGCTATAATAAAAGGAGTTTTTAATTTTTTAAACACCATTTTAGGGACAAAATTATTAGCCCCTTTAAGCTTTATTTTTTCTCGATAGTCTACAGACCAAACCATCATTATACAGTAACTTGCCTAATTACCCTAACCTGCCTAGTTACCCTAATTAACCTAGTGAAGCCTTTAAATGTCACTTTAAGCTGTATAGAAGTGTCTTGAAGAATATCTAGTCTAATATTATTTACTGTCGTCATGGCAGTAAATAAATAAACAAGCGGTCTAATAATTCAGGGGGGGGGCTAATAATTCTGACTTCAACTGTATGTATGTATGTGTGTGTGTGTGTGTGTGTGTGTGTGTGTGTATGTGTGTGTGTGTGTGTGTGTATATATATATATATATATATATATATATATATATATATATATATATATATATATATATATATATATATATATATACATACACTTCTTTTATGTAAGAGGAAGGGTTGAAAATTGGGACAAATGTTTCAGTATTACCGCAAACAGTATCTAATCTTTTCTATTTGCGTCAGTCTTTTTAAAGTATAGGAGTAATAGAAGCTATTTTTAAAGATGAAGGAACAGTAGCAGTAGATAGAAAAGAACAGACAATCGATATTATGAACAAAGAGAGTGAATTAATACAGGACTTAACTAGAATAGTCGGTAGGGGATCAAGTAAACAGAAGTCTAGATTTTATGACCTCCTTAGTAATGAAATCAACCGTGGGCAGTTCAAAATTAGAAAAAGTGCTTACTGACAAATTAACGGGAATATGATCATAATGATTATGTAATGATGATAAATGTAATATATTATATTAATGAATAATTATTATAAGAACTAATTGCAATGCAACATTATGACCCATTTGCTCATGCTCAGTGATCAAGGTCATACACAACACACAAAAAAGTCAAATGAATGAGGAGGCATGTGGGCATAACACAAAATCTAAATCAAGTAATTTTAAGATGCCAAAGTCAAATTTATGCATATAAATTATATTTTCCCAACAATCAAAATGTGGGTTGTGAAAATGGCGAGTGCTATATTGAAAAACTGCACTGACAAAAATGATGCCTGCATGCAAAACTGTTACAAACTATTTATTTGTGTTGAATTTAAACAAACAAATTAGATTTAATAAATTATATCTTATTTGTTTGTTTAAATTCAGCCCAAATAAACTGTTTACAGCCTCTTAACGCAAAAAAAAATTTAAAAAAAAAAAAAAAATATATATATATATATATATATATATATATATACATATATATATATATACATATATATATATATACATATATATATATATATATAAATTATATATATATATATATAAATTTTTCAGTGTAGCTACAGTGGCTGGTGATCAAAAAAGTGTCAAGCCCTGGTTATTTATATAAGAACTAGCTCATAGACCATTTTAATGTGGTCATGTCATTGGCCCATGAAAATTTCCTGCTTGTTGTCAAACTATTTCATAACTGTAACAGGAGGCAACTCAATCATAACTTTAAGTTAAAACACACCTGCTACAGGATTATTTAGCAATATGTAAAGCTTTTGGGGTTCTCAAAAGCGATGGAAATTAAAAATGTAAAACAGGAAATACGTTTGGATCATTGTTATTGTTTACATCCCTCAAAATGGTCTATAAAACAACCAAACAAAAAAGTCAGGACTTACCTTTGATGGAGGAATTAATGTTTACACCTACATTTTAAAACGGTTAGACAAAAAATACATATTTTAATCGCATATTTTAATTAAACGTGTAATGATGTCGGTAAATGACCGAATAAACATTAAAACACTAAACACGTTTGATTGTCTGAGTTGTTTGCTCAGCTTCTCGTGTTTCGTCGATGATAATTCATTTATGATTCCTCCAGCTAAACATCTTATTAACGGAGAATATTTTCAGAACAATTATTATTAAAACGATTTCGAAGGGTTTTGGCTGAGATTATGTTTTAGTTTTGCTTGTATTTTTCCGCAGTTTGAGCAGCGCGCGCTTTTTCCAGTCACTCACTGACAAACACTGCGCATGTGCGTTTTCCATGATATTTAAAATGATTCAATCCAATCATTTGCACTCGATTATTATTTTAAAACGTACTAAATAAATTTTACACAGAATATATTAGGAATTAAACCTGCTTGGACATCTTCAGTTTGATGTGTTTTGTTTTACTGCACTAGTATGTATTTTTAGTCCATTTTAATTTCAATTTACGTTGTGTGCGATTCTTTGAAGTCAACTGTAGATAAGTCAAACTAAATAAAAAAAAAAATCATCATCATGAATTCTTATTTCTAAATAAAAAAATAACATCGACAATCCGTTGAGTCGTTTCCCGCCAGCAGGTGCCAGGAGTGAGCGGCGCGCGCGCATTTCCTCACGGAAGTAGCGGTGACGTGATCGCGCTGCTGTGTCTCTGCTGTGGGTGAGTTTTGTTTTCATAAATGTGTGAATGTCGAGATGTTTCATGCTTTATTGATGCATATCTCCATCTGTTATACTCGTTATGTCCGTTCCGCAGGTTTGATCACACACAAACACACGGCTTCGATGTCAAGTTATTGATCACTAGCGGTTATGAAGCATGTTTACCATTGTTTACCATGGTAATTCTGTTTGTATTTTGCACATGCGCGTTGATAATGTCATCATATTCTTTACTGTGCTTAATCGTTGGATAAATATTATATGGATATGGGCATAAATGCTATGGTGAATATCATTTTACTACGGTAATGTCAAATTAAGAGTCCTGCTAGAATCATTTCGAATATTAGTGACAAGCAAGACTCTTGCACCTGTATTTGATGCACTTTAATTTAATTATACACATATATAATGTAAAACAAAGGAGCAACAGGTCAGATTTTCAAGCATCAATGTTAAAAATAAAGTGCAAAGCATCTTAAAGTGTCCTGGTTGATTTTATACGTTTTTTTCTGAGCATAACAATAACTATTATCAGTTTTCTCCATGATTTGCAAAAGACACTGAAATATCTCTGAGAGTAACAACAGTTTATACATCCTAAATAATCTCATCATTCATATTTAGAGCAAAAATAAATTGCTTTTATATTAAAGTCTCTATATGGATCACAATTTGATCAAATAAATACCCAATAATTGTCATCGTGAAATCTATTGTACACATTTATCCAAAATAATCATGTCAATTATATTTAGAGCAAAAATAACTTGCTTATATATTAAAAATGTCTCTATTTGTGGATCAAAATTTGATTTAAAATACTCAATAATTGTCTTTATGAATTCTATTTTACACATTTAATCCAAAATAATCTTGTTATATTTAAAAAATATGCAAAATAAATAATTATCTAATATATTAAAAGTCTCTATATATGATCAGTTTGATAAAAAACAAAATTGTTATTATGTAATCTATTTCACACATTTATCCAAAATAATTATATATTTCATATTTAGAGAAAAAAATAATTTGCTTGTATATAAAAAAATGTCAATTTATGGATCACAATTTGATTAAAACATTAAATAATTGCCACCTAAAATCTATTTTACACATTCATCCATAATAGTCATGTCATTCATATTTATAGCAAAATAAATAATTAGCAAATATATTAAAATTCTCTATTTATGGATCAAAATTTGATCAAAATACTCAATAATTATGAAATTTATTTAGCACATTTATCCAAAATAATGATGTCATGTTTATAGCAAAATAAATAATTAGCTGATGTAATAAAGTATAAATTTATGGATCAATTTAATAAAAAAAAATACTCTATTGTCATCATAAAATCTATTTTACACATCCAAAATATTCATGTCATTCATATTTATAGCAAAATAATTAATTTGCAAATATATTAAAAGTCTCTATTTATGAATCACAATTTGATCAAAATACTCAATAATTATTAAATTTATTTTGCACATTTATCCAAAATAATGATGTCATGTTTATAGCAAAATAAATTATTAGCTGATATAATAAAGTATAAATTTATGGATCAATTTAATAAAAAAATACTCAATTGTCATCATAAAATCTATTTTACACATTTATCCAAAATAATCATGCCATTCATATTTATAGCAAAATAATTAATTTGCAAATATATTAAAATTCTCTATTTAAGAACCCCAATTTAATTAAAATACTTAATAGTCATTATGAAATCTATTTGCACATTTATCCAAAATAATCATGACATATTTAGAGTTTAAATAAATAATTAGCTGATATAATAAAGTATCAATTTATGGATCAATTTAATAAAAAAAATCAATAATTGTCATCATAAAAATCTATTTTACACATTTATCCAAAATAATAATGTTAATCATATTTATAGCAAAATAAATAATTTGCAAATATATTAAAATTCTCTATTTATGGATCACAATTGGATTAAAAATAATCAATTATCATATACTATTTTGCACATTTATCCGAAATAATCGTGACATATTTAGAGCAAAATAAATAATTTGTTGATATATTAAGTTTATTTATGCAATACAATTTGATCAAATAATAATCAATTGTCATCATGAAATCAGCGGTACCCATTTATCTAAAATAATCATCTCCTTATTTATAGCAAAAACTATTTGCTGATATATTAAAAGTCTCTATTTGTGCATCACAAATAGATCAAATACATACTCATTAATTGTCAATACACAATCTATTTTACACATCCAAAATAGTCACATCATTCATATTTATAGCAAAAATAACCTGCTTGTATATTAAAAGTCTCTATTTATGAATCACAGTTTAATCATAATTCTCAATGGCCAACTAAAATCTATTAAATCCAAAATAATCATATCATATTTAAAGCAAAATAAATAATTTGCAAATATATTAAAGGTCTCAATTTATAATATAATAAAATACTCAATAATTGTCATCATGAATCTATTGTACACCTTTAATCCAAAATAATCTTGTTATATTTAGAGCAAAATAAATAATTAAGGGATATACTAAAATCTCTGTTTATGCATATCAATTTGATCTAATAAATACTCAACAACTGTCATAATAAAACCCGTTTAACAAAATAATAATTGACCATATAATAATTCTAAATAAGAATCACATTTAATAATCGATCGCTCAATCATCAGCAGTGTATTTTGCTTCCTCTAAAGCTTGAGCTCGGCCCTTGTGTTTCGTTCGTCCCTGTGCGTTTTCGTCATGTTGTTGTCTTAAATAAAAGACTCGGTGTTATTAAAAGACTGTCTTCTTTTCAGCGCTGTGAAAGCGGAGGCCATGGTGTTCAATCTCTGCCTGCCACACTTTCAGACCTCCATTCACTGCAACAAGGTACATCGACTGCCATTCTGCAGAAACCCAATGCACTTACGCACTTTAAAGCAGGTTGACCTTATGATAAATAATCCCATTCATGCTGCATTGTTACTATTTCACAAAATCACATGGGCAAGAGCTGTTCAGAATGTCAGCACAGCTTTATTTATAGTTGCTATATAATATATAGTGTTTGTTTGGTTTTAAATTAATTTAAAAAGGGCAATGCTCACATACAGTTGAAGTCAGAATTATTAGCCCCCCTGAATTATTAGCGCCCGTTTATATTTTTCACCAACTTCTGTTTAATGGAGGGAAGATTGTTTTAGCACATTTCTAATCATAATAGTTTTAAAAACTTATTTCTAATAACAGATTTATTTTATCTTTGTCATGATGGCAGTAAATAATATTTTACTAGATATTTTTCAAGACGCTTCTATACAGCTTAAAGTGACATTTAAAGACTTAACTAGGTTAATAAGGTGAACTAGGCAGGTTAGGGTAATTAGGCAAGTTATTGTATAATGATGGTTTGTTCTGTAGACTATCGGAAAAAAAATTAGCTTAAAGGGGCTAATAATTTTGTCCCAAAAATTGTTTTTAAAAAATTCAAAACTGCTTTTATTCTAGTCGAAATAAAACAAATAAGACTTTTTCCAGAAGAAAAAATATTATCAGACATACTGTGAAAATTTCCTTGCTCTTTTAAATACCATTTGGGAAATATTTAAAAAAAGAAAAAAAAATCAAAAGGGGGCTAATAATTGTGACTTCAACTGTATATAGATACATAATGTAAATATGTCAATTATTATAATGTATTTGTTTTTGTTGTAGGATATATTGCACCAAAATATACTGCGATAAACAATATTATTGTCATTTTAAGACCATTTTATGCCACTCATTACACAGTATAATGCCAGAATGACAATATAATAGCATCACAATGCAAGTACACTCCTCCAAAGAACACATCATATTTTATTCTTAAGAATATTCTTAAGATATTTCATATAATAACCGGCACTTTAACAGTTTAATAATGAGGCATTGGAATCAGAATGTGAAAACGTATATACTAAATAAATAATAATAATAAATGTTAAGATAAAAGTGCAAGGTAAAGAGCAATAGAGGCTGCGATATCAGACACCCACATGAAAATATACTACAGTCATTTATAGTAAATACTAAAGTGTTTTATTAACAATACTGACACTGACACCTCCAGTAGAGAGAAAGAGGTTGCTCAGTCAGCTGAAAGGTGGCTAGAATCATTTTTTTTTTATGCATGGATGATATATAATGCATCGCCAAAAATGTCCATGTGCTGTGTGATGTGTCCATATATTGATTATTGTGGCAGGCCTTGCTGTAGCATTGCTTTTCTTTTGTTTTTAGGGAGAAATGTATTGAAATCTGTTCCTGCCTCTGAATATAAAAAAAGGTTATGCCTTTACATCCCAGAATTGAGTCATGCACCTTGAATTTTCAGACTTTATTTCTCAGAGTTCTGTTTTCATGTTACAATTCTGAGTATAAAGTCGCAATGATCTAATAATAATAGAGCCAAGAGCGGACTTCCATAGAAAAGTACAGCAAACTCCTGATTTATTTTACTTAGTTTTTGCATGTCTTTACAAGCCTGTGTGATTTTGCTCTTTTTTTATTATTGTGATATTCCCTAATTGCTATAAATCAGGGCTGTCAAACTCAATTCCTGGAGGGCCGAAGCCCTGCAACACACTTACCTGTAGGTTTCAAACAAGCCTGAAGGACTCAATTAGTTTGATCAGGTGTGTTTAATTAGGGTTGGAACTAAACTGTGCAGAGCTGCGGCCCTCCAGGAACTGAGTTTGACACCTGTGCTATAAATCAATGAACATTTATGTATTTCATGAAACTCTAAAGGCATAGAGTAGGAAAAATAAAGCATTTCAGAAGCAAAAGATATATACATTTATGTACAATATAATAACATGTTTAAATAACAAATTATATATATTTTTAATTAAATGTAAACCTTTACGTTGTTTATCATAGTTTACACAAAATTTAAAGCAACTGTTTTTAACACTGTAGAAATAAAAAAGTGATACATTTTTATATATGTTATGTTATGAAGTAATGAAAATAAAACAATGTTGCTTTATTGAAACATTTTTGTAAATTATACAAATTATATATATATACATACATACAAGCGCGTACCGAACGGTTCAATATTATATAGAGAATCGTGGAATCTCTAAGATAGATAGATAGATAGATAGATAGATAGATAGATAGATAGATAGATAGATAGATAGATAGATAGATAGATAGATAGATAGATAGATAGATAGATAGATAGATAGATAGATAGATAGATAGATAGATAGATAGAGAAGTTGAGTGGACGGATGGATGGATGGATGGATGGATGGATGGATGGATGGATGGATGGATGGATGGATGGATGGATGGATGGATGGATGGATGGATAGATAGATAGATAGATAGATAGATAGAGAAGTTGGATGGATGGATGGATGGATGGATGGATGGATGGATGGATGGATGGATGGATGGATAGATGGATAGATGGATAGATGGATAGATAGATAGATGGATAGATAGATAGATAGATAGATAGATAGATAGATAGATAGAGAAGTTGAGTGGATGGATGGATGGATGGATGGATAGATAGATAGATAGATAGATAGATAGATAGATAGATAGATAGATAGATAGATAGATAGATAGATAGATAGATAGATAGATAGATAGATAGATAGATAGATAGATAGATAGATAGATAGATAGATAGATAGATAGATAGATAGATAGATAGATAGATAGATAGATAGATAGATAGAGAAGTTGAGTGGATGGATGGATGGATGGATGGATAGATAGATAGATAGATAGATAGATAGGGAAGTTCTACAATATTATATTTGTGCATATACATTAGATTAGTCAGTACAGAGGCCAAATCTGGAGCTTATCTAACAAAATAACTTCCTAACGCTTCAAAAATGAGTACAGCAAAATTTATATGTTATAGAAAAATATTAAATACAAATTTTAAAAAGAGGAAAAATCAAAAGAAGCAAAAAGTTGAAATTTAAAAAAAAATTGAAAGTTGTAAGTTAGTTGAAATTTTGTAGGTTGTAATTTTTTTGGGCCATATTTTGCTTGAATTTAATTGTATTATCTTTCAATTTCTAAATATGTTTGGTGACTAAATTTGTATTTTAATAAATATATCTCCTCAATAAATCAGTTTTGTTTAAATGCACCAAAGTACACTGCCTAAGAAATGGAGAAAGGTGTTCATTTTAATAATGGGGTGTACTCAGTTATGCTCAGCACTGCATATACAGTATATAAAATATATACAATTTTAATGTCAATTTCAACTGATAAAAATAGCCTGAACACATCATAGCGTTACTAAAACAGTAAAACATAAACATACAAAAATAGAAAAAATATAAACTTAATTTCACTGATACCAAAATAATAGTCATGTCACAGGCCTTATAACAAATGCAGATGACAAACTTTCTTTCTATCATGGTTAAATTCTGCAGTGACTCCACAAATCAAATCTGTTTTGACCCGTTTCTGGTCAACAATAATCCCAGCTCAACATTGCATGTCTTGCGATGTGACTTGTGGACACACATTGAGGTATCGGTGCTGAAATGATATATTGTGCAGCCCTATAATGAGTTGCATCAAATGGTCTTAAAATGACTATTGCTTATCGCAATATATTTCGGTGCAATATAGCCTACAACAAAATATAGATAATGTGACAGGCCTAAAGACAGCACTAATGTAAAATCATGAAAAAAAAGAGCAGCTGAGGAGTAAAGTTGTACACTTTGAAGGTGTTTTAAACTTTTCCTTTCAGACGCCTCTCAGCTTCTGCTGAATATAAGCGAGTTCAGCTCGGCCTTTGTGTTTCTGCTTCTCTTTGTGCTCTGGACGAGGGTCTTGAGTGCGTCTGAGCTGACCTTGCAATGTTCTGAAGCAGTAATACGCATCTCTGACTGTGTTTATGTGGGTGTTTTTGCGTGTTTGTCCTCCTGACAGCTGTGTGCCGATGGCTACGACGTGTCCAACCTTCTCTCCGAGGATCTGAATGTTCGCCGGAGAGGATTTAAGCTGGAGTACTTCCTGCGGCCGCCCGTGCATGTCACACTGAACTTCCAGGTGGAGAGTATTGTGTTTAACGTTAACGATATTAACACTCCTGTTTGACTTATGGGTAGGCCCACACAGAATCTGTGCACGCAGAATTCTGCAGATTTAAAGCCCATCATTGATTTTATTTATTTACTTGTGTAAATGTGTGTAATTCTATAGATATTCAGTTTTTTAATTAATTTCAGTAATATTATTGACTAATATGAAAATATTTATATGATTTATTTACAATACAGTTGATAAAGTAATACTTTCTGTCTTTCAGTAGAGATATTATATAAGAGACTTGCTTTGTTTACCAAATAAAGTGGATCTAATTGGATTTGCATTGTAAACATTAAAGAAAAGTTACATTTTAGTTCATATATTAGGGTTTTAGTAATGATACTCCCAAAATCATTCCGCGTCAATCCACAGTTTTTTACCAAAATTCTGTGCAGAAATAGCAAAAAATGTCCGCAGATTTCATCTGGCCCTACTTATGGGTAGGGTTGGGTACCAAAACTCTGGAACCGGTATGCACCGAACGAACCAGCATATGAATTTCGGTGCCTAATTCCAGTGCCACTGGTGCTGCGACAAGAACGTAAAAGCAGGTCGCGCACCAAAAGCGCCGCTCGGCGACACACAGTGCTATGCATTTTAAAATTCGCAAGTCAGCGGCTGTCCTCGCTGTGGCTTAAAAGTATCGGTTCAGGCACTGTTATGGCAGCGGTACCATTTTTCGAAGTATCGATTTAGCACCGGTATCAACCCTTATAGGTCAAAAAATGACCCAGACACAATTTTAGCATCTTAAAAGTTTGGTGAATTCTTCTAAAATGTCCCCAACATTAGAAAAAAAATGATCATTTTCTATTTTGATGAAGGTTCAACACAATATAAAAAAATAATATAGGCTATTATAATTTACTACTTGCATTTTATTTGTTATGCTTTATCCGTAAGTGTAAGGATTGCTGCGAGACGAATCGGTGAGACCCTGTATTTTTTGTGGAGGACTGATTACTGATTTGTCCATTTTTGGTCAGCTAGGGCAGTGCTCCTCAACCTGTTTATCACCACGCACCGGTCAACGCCTGACAATTTTACTGCGGGCGGTTGGGGGTGTTTCGTAGGTTGCTATGCAACCATCAACTGTTTTCTCAGAAGATGACAATCTGGCAAAGCATTGCTGTCACTCTGATACAAGCATTATTTAAGGAGAAAAGTACAAAGCACTGCAGTGTTGGTGTGTTCTGTGATGGAGAAAATTAGTCTTACCGAAATTTCATTCAAGCTGAAGCTGATCAGTCAATTCTTGTCGCATGACTCGCGGTGCCCTCGCGGCGTGCTCGCGGCCCAGGGTTCATTGGTGCAGAGCCGCGCACCTCCATTGGAAACAACGAACTTGTTCAAACTTTAGAAATACGCGATATGCGAACGCCGCTAAAAGGCCGCCGTCATTTGCGATCTCCATCAGTTGATCTTCTTGCACAGCCATGCTGGATTCACCTGATTTGTTGACAAGTGGGTTGTGGATCTATTCCATGGCAGTTCGCGAGTCGTTCACTGGGCCTTTTTCACTTAGCAAAGAAACTTTCCTAAGACCTTTGTTTCTTACTCATTATGCCGCTTGTGCGTTAAATTTGGGGAGATGCAAGCGAGAGAATACGGTAGTTTTTTTAAATAAAAGACTTTTCAAAATAAAAGCTCGTTCAGACTCAAATAATATTAAAACAGAAATAATTAGTGATTTCTTGTGCGGCCCGGTACCAATTGATCCACAGACCGGTGGTTGAGGACCACTGAGCTAGGGGATCATATGAACTAAGGCAACATGATCAATCTCCTAATTGTCCACTGCTAAGATTTTTTTTAAATATGACGCGACCCCCCACAAAGCTCGCTGAGGCCCTCTTGTGGGCCGCAACCCCCCTGTTGGGAACCGCTGGTGTACATGAATGCGCCCTTGTAATACTGTGCCCATGACAATTTTATTAAAATAACGCCATCGGAACCAGCCACTCAACCTTCAAGCATACTTGTCAACATTGAGATGTGAAAATAAGGGATATGCTCACCATAATAAGGGATTCCCCCAACCCCAACCCCCCCATTAAGATTTTTTACTACATTAAATAAAAGGTGTCACTCTAAAAATGCACACATCAAACGTTATAATGAAAGCATTCGACTGCTTTCCTGACTTTTTATGCACATTTAAGATAAAATTAGTTGTGTTTGAGGGAAAAAAAAACACCAAGATCGACATCCTTATATGATATTATTATTATTAGTTATGCGTGTATGTCTGTTTAAACACGCACCCAAAAGCCAAACTTTCCGCTTCAAATCGCGAGTACAGAATCCGTTTGGGAAACAGCGTCTGTTTATCACTATGGAGCGCGTCAGCTGACAGTCACGCACCGCTATATGACTGTTTTGAGGATTGTATAGGATGGGCGACGGCACCTGTAATCAGAAGGAAATGGAATCGCGCCGTTTTTAATATTTATTTATAAGAGTTTTCATTCCTAAACAAAGCGAAAGTACAGAAGACCCACTTTTTAGAGCAAGGGGCGACCCCTGGTGGTTTGGCGGTATGGGTTGCGTATAGGGAGGCTCGGCTGTTCAGAGAAAGACTGAAAATAAGGAAGAAATACAGGAAAATATCTTTACGGGATGATAGCGGGATTGAGCTGTAAAACACGGGAGAATCTCCGGAAAAACAGGAGGGTTGACAGGTATGCCTCAGAGGATTGTCACTTGCTAAACCATGTTGTCATTGTTATTTGTTCATTGACTCATTGTATAGACTGATTTCATGCGGCCGCCATTTTCAAAAGCAAAATCGAGGCTGCGGTGGTAAGAAACCCGGAAGTTTTATTGGGAGTTACATAGGAATGTTCTGTAACTGGCTATATAGATAAAGTGACACAATTTTATAATTTCATCGCCTTCCGAGTGACCCGGAGGTCTGTTCTGAATGAATGGTAAATATAGTAAGGGATATCAGAGCTCATTTTCAGCTAAGTTAAGGGAAATGGCACTAGTTAGCTAACGTTTTCTTTCCCAAACACACGTTTAGATGCCATTTATTAAACTCGAGTTAATGAACTGATTTTTTCACTATATTAGACTAGTCATGATACTGAATTAAAAGAAAAAAACATACATTATGATTTAGAACATTTCCCGCGAACATAAAGGCACTGTTGATGGCTTTCTTAAAACAGCGCTGATTTGCCATTGTGGTCACGTTTTCAACAGAAATGATTGTGATTGGCCGAGAAGGTCATCAGTTCACCGCTGTTTACCGAGCACACACACAACACAGACAGAGGAGCGATCTGCTTGTTGATTCGACTAAACTTCAAGGCAAGGCTGCTTCGCGCTTCAGTCTCCGTGTGTCTGTGTTTGCACTGGGTGAAGAGCAGTAAGCTGAGTGCAAACCAAACACAGAGACACGGATACTGAAACGCGAAGCAGCCTTGAAGATCAGTCGAGTCATCTGCGCTCAGCGGCGCTTCTATGTTAGCGGGAAATAGCCGGGTTTAAAACTTCAGTACCAGGACAACACTATTACAGACAACACGAGGGTGTGCTGCAGAGGACTGCAGTGTTTTACTGCTCACCGCGTTACATAGGCTGAAGCAGGAAAGCGTCCTCACTAGTGCCATGAGCTGACGCCTAGGAGGACACTTAAGCGCATCACTGAGATTGTGATCTTGTTTGATGCTAAATTGCTTTTAATTGTTTAAAATAAACTTACTGAACAATATTAAAGTGATGTTTACACCATTTCTGCATTTTAAAATCTCGAGCTGGAGGTTTATTGTACACGGCATGTTACTGCAATGTTTACAGTGCTGGTCCGATACTTCCGGGTTTCTTCCCACCGCAGCCTCGCTTTGGTTCTTTAAAATGGCAGCCGCTTGAAATAAGCGTATTGTATGGGATTTGTCCGAGACAGTGCCAAGTGTTGTGTGTGTGTATATATATGTTTACGTTTCTTTGTGGCTGTTCTTGAAAAATCCAATAAAATATAATTATTTAAAAAAGTTGGAAGATCTGTCTAAAAGGCCTGCCACAGCAGCTGGAAAAAAATCCTAGAGAAAACACTGAGAGACATATTGTGCAGCCGTAATATTACTGTTAAACTTAACAGTGACTCTACAGATCATGTGTTCTGTGGCTCCTGGTCAGCTAAAATTCTCAACATTGCGTATCCAGTGATGTGGCTACTGCCATGTGATATCGATGCTGAAACCATATATTGTCATCCCTAGATGTAAATAATTATGTCTACTTGCAGGTGCAAATGGAGGTGTGTCGGCTGGACGTGGAGCTGTGGCCGTGGGGAATGGATCAGGGCCGGAGCTCCCGGAGGATTGAGATCCTCACAAGTTCAGAAAAAAGCGGCGAGAACTTCCAGCTGGTGTCTCGATGTGATCTGAAAGAAGAGATTCATCTTTCTTTCACGCATCCCTTCTTTAAATCTCGTCCTCCATTCTGTGATCCTCCTCCGCCTTTTGTTGGCGAATCTAAAGAGTTTTGGAGCCCCAGATCTCTATCATCCGTCGCTCAACTACGCATCAGTATTCCCTACAGCGGAGCTGCGTCTGCGCTCGGATTTCGCTCTCTTTCCATCTGGGCTTTGCCTTCTCGATGCTGTAGTGAATCTGAACTCAAAAAAATCCATCAAGCACATCTAAACACGCTCAAAATAAACCCAACAACCCCGATTGCCACTAAATCAGAATCATTTCAGACTGATTCTCCAACTCCAGAAGAGTTCCTAGATCCATTGACGCAGGAACTAATGGTTCTCCCTATGATTTTACCCAGTGGCATGATAATCGATCAGAGTACTTTGGAGGAGTACGAGAAAAGAGAGGCGACATGGGGTCGACTGCCGAATGACCCGTTTACCGGCGTTCCCTTCACACCGAGCTCCAAACCTCTCCCGAACCCGCTATTGAAGAGCCGCATTGACCGTCTGCTCCTGCAAACGGGACACACAGCCGTCGGGAGCAGGAATAATACACTAAATAAACCACAGCCGTCCAGACTGATGTCTCACAGTGTCACAGACTCCAATGAAACACACAGAATGCAGTCTGAACGTGTTTTAGAGACACAGAGACAGAGATGTTCGGCTAAAAGAAAGCGGGAGTTCAGCTCTCCATCCACCAGCGCTGATGCTGATCACCCTCCATTGAGGAAAACACTCCACACGCACACAGGTTTGAATTAATGCCATGTAATGTCATTACTTAATTTAAAAAAGCATAAAAAAAATATTTTAAATGACTAAATTAATAATAAATAATTAAAAATAGATTACTGCCATAAATAATAAATAAAAAAATATTTTTAATATTTTTAATTAAATAAATAATATATAACAATTAAAAAACAAAGTAATTAAAAATGGATAATAATTAATAGATAGTTAAAAATATAAATAAATTTAGAATTTTAAACACATTAATAACAAAGTTTAAAAATAAATATATAACAATTAAGAATTTAAAATAATTACTTAATTATTTTTAAATGAGCAAAAGATAAAAACTTACAATTATTAAATAAATTAATAATAAATCATTAAGAATACAGTCCTACATCAATAATAAAAAAAAATAAAACGGTTAGGTCCTAAAATGTATTAATTATCAAACATTTATTATTTTAAATCCTAACCGTTCGGATTTAAAATAATAAATGTTTGATAATTAATAAATTTTAAATAATAAAAAAATGTATATTAATTATTACATAATCAAAATATGAATATAAAAATTGAGAATTTTAAATAATTAAATGCATTAATAATAAATAAATATATAACAATTAGAAATTTTAAATAATTACTTAATTTTAAATAAGCAGATAAATATAAAAAATAATAATTTAAATTCATAATAAATCATTTGAGTTAATGTCAGATAAAAGTGCATTGTTTGTGGCCATCATGGGGAAATTGTCAAGTATTTGACATTCTTAAAGGTCCTGGGAAGTGATTTAAAATGTGCATTTTTATTGGATGTTTCACGTAATCTCAACTAAATCATGAAGAGAGGGCAGGGCATGGTCTTGCCCCTCCCCTTTTAGTAAAACAGCCAATAGCGTTCTTATACTTATATTATACACACTCATTCACACACACACACTCATACACTATGGCCAATTTAGTTGATCAATTCCCCTATAGCGCATGTGTTTGGACTGTGGGGGAAACCGGAGCACCCGGAAGAAACCCACACCAACACGCAGAGAACATGCAAACTCCACACAGAAACACCAACTGACGGAATCGAGCCAGCGACTGTCTTGCTGTGAGGCGACATTGCTAACCACTGAGCCACCATGCCGCCTTACAGCATTTCTATTTCAGAAACATTTTTAATGGATTTGTGATTTATTGACGGCTTCTGCATATGGCATCAAATCATAAATATATATAATCATTATGGCTTGTCAGAGACTTTATAAACATTAGTCATCTTTGTCTAATGGTTAAGTGAATATGTGCATGTTTTAAAGTAAATGTTTTGTGGTTGTAATGAATTATAGTCCACTGTTGCTCTTTACTGTGTTCCTCCAGTGATTATTGCCTGGTTTTCTGTTTCTGTCTGTTGTGTTTCAGAGTCGGATTCTCATGAGCGGAGGTTAGCAGACAGTTTAGATCAAGCTCTGAACGCTGCACTTGATGGCTTACCAGTGTTCACTACACAGAGCAGAAGCACTGCAGACATTGAGAACACCTCCACTGGTATGAAACGCATTGAAATACAGCAGATAGGAGAAAAATAAAATACATAAATTAAGAAAATTATTGTGAAAAATTCACTTTAATTAAATACATTAATATTAATTAATAGATAAAAATAAAACAAGAATTGAATGATTAAAATGTATAATAATAGATAATTATATATATATATATAAACATACATACATGATTATTATAATTATTAAATAAATAATATATAACAATTTTAAAAAAACAAAGTAATTAAAAAAATTATAATAATTAATAGATAAATAAAAAAATATAAATAAAAAAATATAAATTTAAAACACATTAATAATAGTTTAAAAATAAATATATAACAATTAAGAATTTAAAATAATTACTTAATAATTAATTTTAAATTAGCAAAAAATAAAAACTTATTGTTAAGTAAATTAATAGTAAATCATTAAAAATACAGTCCTACATTAATAATAAAAAAAATTTTAACGGTTAGAATTTAAAATAATAAATGTATGATAATTAATAGATAATTAAAAATATAATTATAAAAATTAATAATTTAAAATTATTAAATACATTAATAATAAATAATTAAAAATACACTACTACATCAATAATTATAATAAATAAAACAATTAAGAATTTAAAATTAAAAATTTTAAATAATTTAAAATTATAAATATAAAAAAATAAATAAATTATTTAATAATAAATTATAAAACATATATAACAATTAAGAATTTAAGATCATTACTTAATTTTAAATAAGCAGATAATTCTAAAAAAGAATTTAAAATTACTAAACTAATAGTAAATAATTAAAAATAAACTACTACCATTAATGATAAATAAAAAATCATTTTAAATTATTTAAAAGTGTATATTAATGCACAATCAAAATATAAATATAGAAAATAAAGAATTTAAAGTAATTAAATACATCAATAATAAATAAACAAATATAAACAATCAAAAAATGTAAATAATTACCTAATTTTAAATAAGCAAATATAAAAATAAGAATTTAAATTAATAATAGATCATTAAAAATAATCAATATATTAATAATAAATACAAAATAAAACAATAAAGAATTTTAAATAATTAGAAAAATTATAATAATAAATAATTAAAAATAGATTATCACCATTAATAATAATTAATAAATAAAAAGATTAAGAATTTAACAATTAAAAATGTATAATAATTAATACATAATTCAAATATAAATATAAAAAATAAGAATTAAAGGTAATTAAATACATCAATAACAAATAATTAAATAAATATATAACAATTAAGAATTTAAATGAATTCATTTTAAAAAGCAGATAAATATAGAAAAATATATATAATATATATAATAAATATATCAGTGTAGGTCTGATCTGAACTAACTCTGGTGCGTGTGTGTTTTGCAGGTGGACAGACGTGTGTTTTCTGCTCGTGTTCACTGACGGTTTATTCCTCCAGCGTGCCATCATATTCTCTGCCCTGTGATCATCTCCTGTGCGGCCCGTGTTTGAGACACAGAAACACGTCTGATCCACAGAAAACAACGATTAACTGTCCGGCATGCGGATCATCAGCTTCATCCAGAGACATTACACGAGTTCATCACTGAATCTGCCTGTGTGCTTATTTTTGTGTGTGTTGTATTCATTAAACAAAATTGAGAAGCAGCATTACACGGACACTGACGTTATTAATAACTGCATACAGGTCAAAGACTAATTAATCTGATTTTAACCTCTCTCTATGCGCTTCATGCTTCTGTCAGTCTATGGAGACTCCTGTCATCTAAAACTCCACATCTATAATCCTCTTAGTCTATGCTGACATTATCTTCAGCAGCTCAAACACTCTAATGGCTAATGGACAGACGGCTGCTTCTCACTCAGGGCTGCTGTTTATGCTAATGAGGGCGAGATGGGCACTAGTGGGCGGGGCTTTCCCCCTCTGATGACACGTACAAAGGCAGAATGTCAATCAAAGTGTTTCATTCATCAAGTCTGATTAGAACAAACACAATTATACATGTTGACTATTAGAGGCTGGAGATATCCACACACTGCTGACACACAACTGGGTTAAACCTGTGGTGTGTGTATGTGTGTGTGTGGTTTTTGTGTGTATCTGGTTTTCTATGCGA